TGGCAATACACCTGCAACAAAGAAATAATCAAAGATGAAAGCCAGATTGAAACTAGGAGTTAGCAACAATATCCAGAAATGAGCCTGTGTCCACAGCAAGGCAGCAGAATAGCAACTGGAAACTGTCAGTTGGTCCATTGCTATGGCTAAGACCACACATCTCAAGCAATTGTAGGCGTCCTGATAACAGAAATATGTTAACAGTTTGACAAGATTTCAGAGAGAAGGATGGGGGAAGGGGTTCCCTTTGGAGCTCAGGACTCTCAGAGTCTGTCCATGTCACTCTTTGGCACCTTCTGTAAGTTTGAGACCTGAGAACCTTAAAAGGACTGAACCAAATTCTTCCTTAAGCTATTTCTAGATGCAAAGGTGAAGCTTTGCAGCAGTCAACCAACTAAGTAAAGTGGCAGCGAAACTGGCTCAAACTCTTTAGCATAAGTAAGTTATGAAATAATGAAGAATATACTGGTCTTTATATTTTTGGAAAAAAGTAAGGGCGATTCTGGAAGGTATGGGGAAAAATAGTGGAAAATGGAATGACATAAGCAAAAACCAAGACAATATAATTAGAAAACAGATGCTGCTAGGATGCAGGACTCCAAGGAGTTCTGTTACCAGAGTGATTTAAAAATAGGAGAAAAAAATGACTAATCCTAAACTGAAAGAAAGTACGAAACTGTAAATCTCCATCTTTAATTTCCAGAAGAAAAAATCTGAGAATAACTCTAGTTAGAGAAATGGCCAGAACTATTCTGTTTCTACAATGGAATTTTTGCTTGACTATGAAGAAATTAAAAACCTCAGAATTTGTTTCCATGGCTCTCATTCCAACTTCAAATAGTTTCCTGGGTTTATGTTTTTCCGCTTTTCTAGGAAAAAAAGAAAAAAGAAAAGGAAAGGCCTCTCTCACCTCTCACTTCCCTGTGTATACATTCTGGATATTTAAGCAGGTATTTCATTGGAATGTTTGTCTACATCATGTTAGTAATTAAATCCATTAGTTCTGCCAGTCGCATGAACTCAGCATTTTATTTTAGTTCAATGAGGAGTTATGTAATCATTTATAGTCTGAACTGCATTCGTCACTGTTTGCAGTGCTTCTTACCATTGGATGCATTCATTCTGAGTTTTGCCTAATTACAAGGACATTTTTCTGTTTGTGGGAAGACTTAAGACATGCTAAAACAAAAGTTTCAAGTCACCAATGTCAATTTATGTACCATGACTTCATTAACTAAAACTAACTCTCTTCACGTAACAGCTCAGAGGATCAAAGTAAATGTGTGTAGCTCCCATTAAACACAGCAGCATCTTTTCTTATTCTATCATTATTTGTTACTCTGAGTTTTAGAATTAATAATTAATAACAACAATATATAAATAATATAAAAATAATACATAAATACATTGTTAAATATTATATAGAACATTATATCTAGTAATAACTAATAATATGTGTAATTCAAAATTATTTGAACATTTAAAATGAAATGAAGCAACCCATAAACAGAAGACGATATAAGTTACCATTGATAAGGAATTTAGTGCAGTGCCTCATAGTTTTGGTGCAGTGATCTCATATGTTTGTGTACAAGATCCTGAATTAAAAAGCTTGTTAAACAGACAGAGTTGCTTAGGAAGGCTAACAACTTTTAACATTATTATACAACATAATAAGTTTTCAGTCAGAATTGTAATTTGACTTAAGAAAATTCACATCCAAAACATATATCATAAATGTTTTGTGAAGGTTGATGTTTGACGTTTCTTTAACACATTATCTTCTGAATTGCCCGAGCAACATCCTCTCAAAATACCTTTTAGAAAACATCTCCCAGAATAAAATGACAATGTGATTTGTTTTCCATTTGCCATCTTCCTTCTGCTATCTTTATATAATAAACAACTTCCTACAGACTTTTATTTTTAACATGTGAAGTTTGATGTCAGAATGTAATTTCTGAGAAGCAGATGAACTTAAATATTCCCTCTTGCTGAATGAGCCTGCACCCAGCAGCCATTAACTGGGACATACACAAACAGGAATATCAAACGGTGGTTTTGCCATGTGATCTCTTCCACTGCACACACAAATATAGAACATGACCATAAAAAGTAACAGAACATGCTCTCTGCTAAGTAATTTATTGCAGTTGATGCTAGATCGGTATGCCAGCTGGAATTACCTTCCCAGCTCCTACTGTTTTCACATATACAGATAATAGAGGCTATGCACTGCAGCAGATTCCAAACGAAAAATTATCAGCTTTATTATCAAGGAGCAAAACTCTGCAGAAGCAGCTTAAGCAAGCTGAACTGAAAATGTTTGCTAGTGACTCACAGAAGGAGTTCAAGATCTGAAAGAATGCTTCAGCCTGCAACATTTTCACAGAGGAGAAAAATATTGCTTTTTGTGTGATATGTATTTCTCTTCCTTCTTTGCTAAGCACAGAAAAGTCTAAGGATCATTATACATCCAGGAGCTTTCTTTTAGTTTGAATTCCTTGTTCATTAGTTTATAAGCTGCAAGAGCTGAGCTAATTTATTTTTGCAGGGCATTTTCCCCTCCCCCCTCCCCCCCTTTTTTTTTTTTAAGGCACCACATATGACATCCCAACATGACAGGAACTCAGTAAATCCCCTCAGTCTCCACACCGCTGTCTCTGAATGTCTGCAAAGCTACTATGCCATAATCGCAGCCCGCTGGCTCATTCACAGCTTTACATTATAAAGCAAACAGTCTAGACAGCTGAATGACAGAATTACTCTCTTTTCTCTTGCATTTATAGATATGCTGTCATCTTCATTTGCTTTTCTCTACCCTGTGCATTCTGATACACTAATGACTAGCTTTCCTGTTTGGATTCCACACTGACTCTGTAGCTCTAGGCTGCAAATACAACCAGAGCCCAGATGACATTGCATCAATAAAGTCCTGGGGAGGGAAGGACCCCTGATTCTTTCCCTCCCTGGCTTTATCTGGTGTTAACTAGGTTTTTCTAAACTGTTAACCAATACAGCTTTGCAAAAGGATTCTTTTCCCCATTGAGATGGAGATATAAAAAGCCTGATGCTTTTTGTGCTGTCTGTCTCTGCAGTGGAGCATACTATTCAAGTTGCATACAATAGGCAGCCTTCAACTAGTTTCAGGTTGTCTGCTTTACAGCTGCATGTAGGACCGTGCAAAAAGTATGTGCAAAAAGAGGAAAGGAATTAACAGCTGTAGAGCTTTGGATGCTTATCAAAAATATGCACCTAACAGTCTTCACTTTAAAAAACCTTCAGTAATTGGATTGGGTTTGTTGTCACTGAGAAACGAACCTTAACTTGTAATATTCCTGGCATTTTAACACGCGTATCATCTGGCACTTCCTCTGTGCTTAAAGATAATTCAATGATAAAAAAAAATACTTTTTTTGCCGTCAACAAGCTGAACAATTCTATGCAAGCCTGATAATGCCCAGCTATACATGTGGCCAACTGTGGTTATATTTATAGCAAGGTTTTTATTATTTGTTGCTTTTCTTAATGCTTCTGCAGCTGCCGTTCTGGATCACAGGAGAATCTCTTTTTACACTTTTTTTTTTCCTTTGCTTGTTTTGTTGCCATTTTAAAATGAAAGTTTCTGAACTTTACAGCTGAAAAAATCTCAAATCTTTGAAATCAGGTTCAGAAAATGTTAAGGGTAAAATCGAGGAGAAGCCACCCTAATTCTCACTTGAAAAGCAGAGGAAATCAGACTGATAACACATCACCAAGTAGTGAGCTTGAATTTCTCCTTTCACCAGAGGGGGGACAATACCAACAGTCTGGAGCACTGCATTACATTAGTGGCCACTGGAAACTGTCTGTTGGAGAATATTTTACCAACAAGCACAAAGAGTTTTGTGGGCCACTGGGTGCGATTGTGTTCACAGCCAACATCAATGACTTCTTGAGGCCTGTACCAGTGGGAATTTTGCCAGTTCTCTGCAAATCATGATTCACTTTTACTCTCTGAGATCAGGGACAGATGGAAAAACAACAGATCCCTTCCCTTGCTTGGAACTCTGTAAATCAAAAGTCTCATCTGGAGTATCTGTGTGGGTTTTTTTTATTTCTTCTTTTTTTTTCCTTGAGTACATTAAAAGATACTGATTAGTAAAACTTTCAGTCTGTATCTCTAAGATTCGTAATGACAGCAAAATTTCAATAATTCATCCTAGTTGCAGAGAGCTCAGATTTGAGAATACAGAATTTAGTGAACTATGAGCTACCAGTAAAAGACAGAACTGAAAGCTCTGTAAGGAAAGTTTTCATTCTCTGCACACTCACAGAAGGAAGGATGGAGAGCAGTCCCACAGCAGGGCTGCCCAATCATTGTTCCCAGGACTCATACAGTGCTACTATCCAAAACTTTGTGCCCTGCAGAAACCACAAATGACATTTCATTTCAGTTCAAATGACATTTCTTAACAACTCCACAGCCTCCCTGAGCCTCCTAGCTGTGAAAGGTTACCACTAAAGTAAATAAATCAACTTGATCTAAAATGCCTTTTCCTTTTCTTGATGAAAAGCTTTGCCTCTTCCAAAATCAGACTAATCCAGAGCTCTGAGAGTATTCATTCTGCAGGCTAGTATTGATCTTTTTTTTCTCTCAATAGCTTATTCCCTAACTTCCAAGACTATTATACAACATCCCTTTGGGGCTAGCAAGAAGTCATTATATTGCCTAGTATCTTCAGCTTCCAGAGAAAAACTGATCCTACTTACAGCCCTATAATGGAAACCTCCTTTGCTTTCTACAGTGATCTTATATGTATTCGTTCAGAAAAATTTCCTCACTCTGGTTATTGTAAACTTTCTGATTATTACAGTACCATGCTAATAACACTAAAAGCAAGCATCTAAGTACACTGTATAAAGTAACAGATAGAAGCAAATGCAGGGTTGATACAAAACATGCAGGAAGACAGCCTTTTAATGCAGTGACTCTTGAAACTGTAGGTCAGTTTTCTTACCTCTTGAGGCTCTTGACATTGAGATGCTAACACCAGGAAAGATCTCTGTGCTTGGAAAGCAGCACGTACCATCTCTGCCTGTAAGGAAAGGAGATAAGTTAAATCTTAGCCTGTGACCTCCAGTACTTCTCTTTGGCAGCTCAAAGTCAAGTGTGACAGCTCAAATTTTTCTTGCTGTTTCTCATCTAAATCACAGCAATGTTGACTGGAAAAAATGTACTATAGTGGCTTAGCTATATAGATATATATATTTTAAATCTCAGGTTAGGCTTCCTATCTTCTTCAGATAGGAAATAAAACAAGTTGATATGCAGCCTTTTGCTTATCATTTATAAGATAAGTCATGGAAGGACTCAATTTTACCACTTCAGAAAATGTTCAGGCATTTTAATGGCAATGTAATGGCAGTGTTTATACTCAGAGTGCAAGATAACAACTTACTATGCTGAGACCTGCAGCCTGCAAACTTTCTGTTGAATGGTACCTTAGGCTGTAATGATGTTCAAGAAGAGTTGAGTTTGGCATATGTATTGAGAGATGAGGCTGTAACTCATTCCTTTCCTGTATTTCCCTGTGCAGACCCTAAGACTGATGGCTATGAGAGATGAGGGTGGCTGAGGATTTTTGGGCTATTGCCCCCACAGAACTGTAGAATTTGGATTAAATCTGCATCTGACAAATTTGTTTTTGAACACTACACATTTTCCTTATATTATGAATGATGTATTTTGATTTGAATGTAATCAGTAATTCAGGATCACCTATATCTTATTCAAGTGGATGAGTAATGACTAGAATGATGAGTTATTAGCAAAGAAAAGAACTATTCATAAATAGCATGTATTAGCTATATAAAACCAAACCAAATGCTGTTAAGTTAATCTAATATGAATGAGTACATTTATAATCACTTTGTGAAAGGGTGGGGAAATTCATGCTATTTGTCTTTGAGGTTCCTTCAGTCTAAAAAGAAAACAAGAAAATTTTATGGGCTTATGTGGGTGCAACTTAAATTACATTAAAGTTAGGAAGTTCAAAGTTCAAAGCCAAATGGTGTTTATCTATCTTAAAATGTGATGGTATGAATAAAACTTAATCCGTTAGGTTGAAAATCATAGCAAGGAAAAGTGGTAAAAGAGGGCAACTTGGACAGTATTTGTGTAGAAGGGGTATGTTATGCTCTGACAAGCTAAGATTTGTAAGAAGGCAGTCATCTCTATAAATGGATAAATAAATAACAAGGGAAGTTATATGAGTATAGGAAACAACTTTTTCAGACAGATAAAAATACTATCAATAATGGCAAGGTTTGGGTTTTTTTAGGCATTTCAGAAGACTGATTTTTGGTTCAGAAATTTGTAAAACAACATGCATGCTATTTTAAGCTTAATTTTTGTGCATAAGGAGGATCTTGCAGACCAGCTGACCAAAAAATAATATCCAAGGAGGAGTGATTATGAATGGATTCAGTTCTTCTGAAACTGCAAGATGGACAAAAATAAATCTACAGGTCGGTATTTTCGAAGGGCAGATTTGTGGAATATAGAAAAATCAGTGAATGAAGATGAGTGGCCTGAGGAATTCAATTAACTGAATGCAGGAAAAGATGGATTTGCACTGATAATGGAAATAATCTGCACATGCTGGACGAGAGAAGAATTAGCTAGTCCCTGGATGCATAAACGACTGAAGCAAGATACTAAGTACAGAACCTACAAAGAGTGAGAAGAGGCCTTGATTATCAAGGAGAATTTGGTTCAGAGATTATAAAATAAAAAAGCAAGGGAATGAAGGATAAATGCCTTGTTGATCTGTCTTGCATAGAGAAGTAAAACTAAGCCATATGTCTTTTTAGCTACTAGAACAGTAAAGAACAGTAAAGACATGAATTGAGGCCATGGTCATGAGCTGAAGAGTAAGTTGAGCATCCTTACATTGTTCTTGATGTATAACATCATAGAGTCATACAATAGCTTGTGTAATGTGATGATCAAGGATCATCAGGTTCCAATCTCCCTGTCACAGACAGTTGCCAACCACTAGATCAAACATCTGATCAGGATGCCTGGCGCCCCATCCAACCTGGCCTAAAACAGCACCAGGGATGGGGCATCCACAACCTCTCCAGGCACCCTGTTCCAGCACCTCACCACAGTGAAAAAACTTGCCCTGATATCTAATCTAAATCTTCCCTCCTTTAGTTTGAAACCATTTCCCCTTGTCCTATCACTGTCTGCCTGTCTAAAAAGTTAATTTCCCTCATGTTTATAATCTCCCTTTAAATACTGAAATGCCATAATGAGGTCTCCCTGCAACCTTCTCTTCTCCAGACTGAACAAGCCCAGCTACTTCAGCCTGACTTCATAGGAAAGGTGTTCCAGCCCTCTGATCATCTTCATGGCCCTCCTCTGTACCCTCTCCAAGAGCTCCACATCCTTCCTGTGTTGGGGGCCCCATCCTGGTTGCAGTACTGCAGATGGGGCCTTACCAGAGCAGAGTAGAAAGGGACAATCACCTTCCTCGCCCTGCTGGCCACTCCTCTCCTGATGCAGCCCAGGGTACTGTCAGCTTTCTGAGCTGCAAGCACACACTGCTGGCTCATTTTGAGTTTTTCATCTACCAGAACCCCTAAGTCCTTCTCAGCAGGACAGCCAACTCTCAAGGAGAGATTCTTTCTCATACAGAAGGTAAATATCAAAGAGAAGGAAGAAGAGCTCTAGTAACAGAGGTCTGTAAACTAGGTCACAAACATAGTCTCATCTTCAGATTTCCAGCTAACTCAGAGGGTGAAGTTCAGAAGGGTTCTTCCAAATTCCTACAAGGAGCCAACATTATTTTAAGACAGAACTTTGAATGCTGACAGATCACAAAACAAGAGTTTGAAAATAAAAAGTTTGGCTTTTTTTTTTTTTTTATACTGCCTTAAATCCTTACTTTTGGGTTCCCGCTTACACATATAGACTGAGTAGAACTTCTTTCTCCCCTCACAGTAAGATGTAACAACTGGTTTTGTGTCTGATTTTTCACTTCTTTTCTGCCGTTGCACTAGCTTTCCACATTGTTTTTATTAGCCCTTACTTACTGTAGGACATTGGAAACATTCAGTGGTCAGTGGACTTGTATTGACTGGTGATACCATACCCCTGAAATTATCCAGCCCCATAGACTTTTAGCTGTATAGGGGGAAAAGCACTGATATTTCTTACCTTTGAAATTAAATCTTAATCAAAGGATTGTGCTAACACAGATTTTGAATTTTTACAAGCCCAATTTCACAAGACTTCTGCAACAGATACTTCCTTCTTTCTCCAGCAGCATTAAAAGTGGGTTTCTGAGTTTAATGTTTCCAAACATGCAGCACTTCTTTCCATGCATCCTATCAAAAGTATTAGAAGAGCTTCTTCTAATTAAGAATGCATTAGTTCAGTTTATCATCACCTCAATTCTTTCAGTATTTGCAATGTGACACTTCATTGCTACTTCCTTCCTTTTAGCAAGCCGGCTGTGTAACTAAGCAGAAGCACCTTTTAATATGGAACTGACTTTTTCATTAGACCTCGTATCCTGAAGTCTAGTAAGTGAAAATGGATCAGAAGGATTTTTCTCAACAGCTTGTGCTGCTCAGCCAAAAGATTGCCACAGAATAAATCAACTGAGATTCTTTCCGTTATAATGAATGATAGTAATGAAGACTGAGTGTAAAAAAGGAATGGAGATTGTGAGTAAACTTATCAGAGTGGACTAGAACACAAACTTGCACACATTTTTCTGCAGATAGAAATGGGATATTTTGGAGCAGCAGATAAATGATATCTCAAAACTTTGGGTAATCCTCTTGGCATTCTTGGGATTATGTACCGATACAGCAATCATCAGATAGATTCTGCAGCTGAGGCAAACATTTTGAAGGAAGCAAGTTCTTCAGAATATTTTCTATTCTGCTACAGGCTGGAGGAGATGGCTGTGACTTTGGGCTCAAATGCCCAGATTGCCTGCATGCCATTCTCCTCCTCAGTTTCCCAAACAGTAAATTGTGGAAGAAGTTGTCTTAATCCTCTACCTAAGGTGTGCTTTATAGTTGTCTTAGGTGGTTACTGTGACTGGAAGTGAAGAATTCTGACATGTCAGCCCAGTTCCATTCCTGTTGAAATCTGTGTGTGACTACAGGGACTGGCCTCTGCATCAATGTCACAGTAACAGCATAGACAGACCTCTTCACAGTTCAGCCTGCAGAAATTAATAGAGGAATCATTTGTCCTTAAGATGTCTCTTTCTTATTTTAAACATCTTATTCAATCTAAGTTGCCCATCACACTGGTATCCAAGCACTAATGAATACAAATATTATTTATGTAACAACAGTTTGGCAGCCTACAAGAGGAAGACAAGCACATGCATTCAGATCTTGTTATGAGTAAATTCAGTTTTTGGAAAAAAAAAATAGTAAAATAAAATAGAAATAATTGAAACAGAAGATTTCCTAATGAAATTCAGTCAATAATATAAATCTATTGACCTGATAATATAAATTGACAGGTGTGATTTCATTTAATAATGTATTTCCTCAGTTACAGCACTGAGGAAATATCATAATGTATTGCATATATAAGCATAACGTAAATATCAGAATTCACTGAACTTCTGTACTTGGAAAATAATACACATCTGCATATATATACATTCGGGCATCAACAGTGATAATTTGCAAATCAAAATACAGATATATGTATATTTTGGATTTTGAAAATACACACAATGACTTTGTTCTGAAACAAAATATTAAAGAGGACATTGGAAAGAGAGTAAGGATTTAGTTAATGGCCCAGAGTTTTAATCACAGGTTCTGCCTCAATCATTTGGGGTCCTTTGGGTCTAGCAAAAGACACAATGACTGATGGCAAATAGCAACTACAGATGGAACTTCAGTCTTATGGGCTAATACCCAATCTTTCTGTGAAGGGAACAATACTGCCAGAGAAGGAGAAAGAGTTCATCTTCTACATTCTGCTTTCAAGAGCCTCTACAAAGTGAAGTGGAGAAGTGGCTGGTGGCTTAAATGGAGAAGCAAGAAATGGAAA